GTGGAAATCAGTATGGAGATACCTCAAAGAACTAGGACTGGAAGTCTCATTTGACCCAGCTATTCCACTGCTGGGTATCTTCCCAAAAGAATTAAAGGAATCATACCACAGTGATATATGTGCACCCATGTTTATAGCAGCACAGTTTGTAATCGCTAAAGCTTAGAAACAACCCAGATGCCCATCAACTGGAGACTGGATAAAGAAGATGTGATTCTTTAATAAAATGGAGTACTACTCAGCCATAAAGAACCAGAAACTAGAGACATTTATAGCTAAATGAATGCATAGTGAGGCCGTCCTCTTAAGTGAAATAAATAGGACACACATGTGTAAACACCAAATAGTTTCTCTGGTGTGAGAAACCGAAAGTGTAATTAAGGATACACAAGGATGAAATGACCTAATAACATATTTCTCAGATTGTGTTTCCATTGCATGTCATATGACTGTATCGAAATTTAAATTAGGGAGAAGTTTGGCTTATGTGGAGTCTTCTAGCTAACTGAAGTTTTTTTTCTAGACCACTATTTGTTCAGTGTTGGTTTTGGGGATCTTTCTGAAACAAATCACATCCTCTGGTGTCTTGGTGTCTGGTACTTGAGATGTTTTTTTAAGTTATATGGGAAAATGTTTAAGTGCTTTTCAGTTTTGTTCTGGTTGAGTTCTACTGTAGTTGAATATTATTGTAGTTTTTTTCCCTTGCATTGTTCTTCTTTGAATGGTTTTAATTTCTGTATGTGTGTGTGTTTGATAATAAAGTTATTTAAAAATATATATAAAAATAATAAAGTTATTTAAGAAAAAAATCACTTATGGGGCCAGGGATTTAGCTTAGCGGTTCCACCGTCTGCCTCACAAGTGCAAGGTCCTGAGTTCAACCCCCACTACCAAAAAAAAAATCATTTATGTTCTCTATACCTAGAAGTGATAGCTTCAGCCATATTGGCTTTCTTAATAACTTTTCCTTTTTTTCTATATGCATTTTCAAATACAAAGCATCCTTTAAAAAATCATTTTGGGGGCCGGCGATTTAGCTCAGTGGTTCTGACTCCTGCCTTTCAAGTGCAAGATCCCGAGTTTGATCCCTGGTACCAAAAAAAAAAAAAAATATTGTGTCAAATTTCCGTGTCACTGAAACACTAATATTTTAAATAACTGTATAGACTCATCATTTAGATGTAATTTACTTAATTATTTCTTTGATACTGTACATTTACATTTTTTCTAATTGTTTGCACCTGTGAATTACGTTGTAATAAACGTATTTGTTTCTATCTCTGATCATTTTCATTAGGATAAAGTCCCCAAAGTAGTTTATTCTAAAAAAATGACATGGGCTTTGGTACATATAACAGTCTTCCTTAGAGCTGGTAAGTTATCCATTAAATGCCCCATACATTCCACTGTGGCATGTGGCAAACATTTAATATTTCCTTCCAGATTCAGAGCCTAAATAGCAGTTAACAGGCTGAGCCCTGCCTTTCAAGCTGCCACTCAAAGTGTAAATGCAGCCTCTTTTTGTACCCTTCCTATCAGAAGAGTGACCCCCTTCCAGGCAGGTCTGCCACTCTGGAGCTCTTTGATGTCAAGTTTGGTTCATTCCTTTGTCCACAGCACCTGACACACCCTAAGAACTGTCACTTTCTTGCAGCTCCCTGCACTCGAGGACCAGCTCAGCACTCTCCTGGCCCCAGTCATCATCTCCTCCATGACAATGCTGGAGAAGCTCTCGGATACATACACCTGCTTCTCCACAGAAAATAGCAACTATCTGTATGTCCTTCATTTGGTGAGTATGTGGCCCTGTGGTCCATGTTCCTCTTCCTCCTGCTCCACGGGGAGTCCACTTGGCTGTCCTCTATCCTGGACGGCAGACTCCTGTGGAAGGCAGGAACTGCACAGTATCAAAACCTCCCGGTACCCAGTCTTACCCTTAATTTTCCAGTGAGATCAGGGAAGGTTGACGGAGTGCCATGGTGGCTGGATGATTTTCTCTGTGCCTACAGTTTGGAGAATGCCTGTTCATCGCCATTAATGGAGACCACACTGAGAACGAGGGAGACCTCCGACGTAAGCTGTGTGTGCTCAAGTACCTGTTTGAGGTGCACTTCGGATTAGTAACTATGGATGGCCAGCTCATCCGGAAGGAGTGAGTCCTCAAGGATGGTCCCCCTGTGTCCTCTGCTGAGCTCCCTAGTGTGGGACCAGTCAGCCTGTGCCCAGCCACAACGAAACCGAAGTTCCATACTTTGCCCCAACTGTGTCCCTGGGTCCAAGAAGCGGAGCTTTGGAGCTGTGAAAACTATCTTTTCTGAGCCTCTCATCTTACATATGTGGAAACTGAGGGTACAGAAGTTAAATAACTTGGCCCAGAGGTATCCAGTTGGTTGGTGACAACACCCAGCCTAGAAGTTTGAGCTCAGTGTCCCTGTTACACAGTTCATCCACTGCCAACCTTAGTGGTTCATCATTATCATCCTGGTCTGAGACAGTCCCCTCTGGCTCCTCAGAGCTGCCCTGGTCTTTCCTTTTGGAAAAACACATTCCCAAGCTTACTGTGGTGACACCTTCTGAAGGGCAGGGCCCCAGAAGCCATCGCTGGCCCCATAATGAAAACCTGAGCAAAAAGAATGGTGGCTCAATGTATACACTGAGGTGAGAAGGGAAATGTGACCTGGAAGAGTGAGGTTCAGGGTGGGGCTGTCCCCTACTTCTCAGCACCATTAGGAAGTCTCAATCTGAAACTCTTTATCTTCTGAGTTTTAAAGTGACATGAGCACTCACTCATATTGAGGCACTTACTGTATGTGCAGGCATCAGGTCATGAGCTGTTTTAGCTGTCACAGTGCTGATGGCACATGCTATGGGCAAATGCCCCTTACACAAACCACATTTATCCATGCAGGTCTGTCGGTGTTTGGGAGGGCTGTGCCTCTGTGTTGGCTCTGATAGTAGTCCAGAGTTGTCTGTTTTTAGGGATCTGTGGGGGACAGGAGAGCCATAGAAAATGCAGGTACCTTCCTGGCTCCTTGTAGCTAGCTTCGATATGTCTGTGTGAAAGAAGCAGAGGAGTGAAATCATTTGCTCAGTGGCCTGACTCCTGGTTCCTGCCAGTGCTGCTCTGCCACGGCCCACAGGAAACACAGCCTCTCTCTGCCCTGGGCTCTCCCACAGATGGGCAGTCACATTTCCTGAGCTCTCTGGCTCTGATGCTGGCCTGGGATAGGATCTTTGGGTTGGTTAGAAGTGACCAGCTTTCTCATGGTGCCTCTATCTGTGTTTCTGCCTCAGGCTGAGGCCCCCAGACCTGGGCCAGAGGGCGCAGGTGTGGGCTCACTTCCAGAGCCTGCTGTGGACCTACAGCCACCTGCGGGAGAAAGAGCAAAGCTTTGCTGTGGAGGTGACTAATGGGGCACTAAGGCCTCAGGCCTGGGAGGTTTTGGGTTAGAAGGGGCAGCAGCCTGCTTGAAGACCATGTGTTTTTTTGTTTTGGTTTGGGTTTTTTTTTGGTACTGGGGATTGAACTTAGGACCTTGTGCTTGCGAGGCAGGCAGCAGAACCACTGAGCTAAATTGCTGGCCCTTGAAGACCATATTTTGACATGGTCTTCATGAGTAGGGGCACAGGCACATACCGAAATCTGTTTATCCAGAATTGTTCTTTCTGTCCACATGGTAGGCCTCTCCACAGTAAACAGCTAGATTCTGGGTAAAACTGACTTTTTGGTACAGTTTTAGAACTCACTATAAATTACAGAAGTCTCTGAAGATAGCGCCTCTCACCCCCCAAAAAAGTTATAGTGAGCTGAGACTAGAGTAGAAAGCAGTGAACAAAAGCAGCACTAAAGGAAACCTTGCCCTGAGTGCAGTGATACTCCCAACACAGCCAGAAAACAGTCTTTAGCCAGCAGCACAATCAGGAGCTAAACCTGCCACTCCTAGGTTAAGCTGGGCTGACGAGCTCAAGCGGCTTTGGTCAGTAGCACCACCAGGCCCCTTTGGGACTCAGATTCTCTATGCAGAGCAGTGGATCGCACTTGCCAGTGCCTGTTGGAGTCGTGTGGAGGGCTTGTTAAGCACAGGTTGCTGGGCCTCACCCTCAGAGTTTCTTATTCGGTGGGTCTAAGGTCAGGACTCTAGAGTCTGCATTTCCAGTGGATTCCCAGATGATGCTGAGTGTGCCAATCCAAGAGTCACACTGAAAATCACTGCTTTAGGGGACAGACTGAAACAGAAATGAGCTCACAGTTAAAGAAGTCAGGTCTCACCCTTGAGCACCCACACCCTTTCTGAGTGTGTACTTCTTTGATTCTGCTTAATAAATCTGCATATACCTTTTAAAGGAGGAGGAGGAGGAGGAGAAAGAGAAGGAAAAGGAGAGGGGAGAGAAAAAGGAGAACAGGAAAAAGAAGGAGAGGGGAAGAGGAAGAAGAAGGAGAAGGAAGAAGAAGAAGTCAGGTGCACAAGAAAATAAGCCACCATGGGTGACAGGGGAAGTCAGGAAATCAGTTACCAACTCCAGTAAACATGGGGTATCCACTGTACAATAAGACATGAGCCAGGCCTTGATGAATAAAGATATAAACCCTGCCTTGCGAGAACTCAGAACTTAGTGTGTGAATACTAAAAATGTAATAAAGTAGGTGCCACACTAAGCTTCACATCAAAAATCCATGGTAACACAAAGGATGGAATGGTCAGCTCTTCCTGGGACATCAGGAAAGCCTTCTTGTAGGAAGTAACCTAATGTAGTTAGGACAAAATCCAGACTCCTCCCCAAGCCCACCAGGCGTTGTATGAACTGTTGCTGCCTGTCTTGCCCCACCTCATCTCAAGCCTCTCTTGTTCTCATTCTCTGTGCATTGCTCACATGGGATTTCTTTTAGTTTCAGAAAAACTGTATGTTTAGCTCTGTCCAATATGTTAGTCATTAGCTACATGTGGCTTTTGAATACTTGAAATGTAGCTAGTCCAAATTAAGTTATGCTGTACATGTAATATACACCAAATTTTGATGACTTAAAACAGAAAAGAATGTAAGACATCACATTAATAATGCTGTTATATATTGGTAATATTTTAGGTATATTAGACAAGATTAAAATATTAAATTAATTTCACCTGTTTCTTTTTACTAGAAATTATTAAATTATGCATAGGACTCGCCCTCTGCCTTTTAGTTAAAGAACAGTGCTCTAAACTACACAACTCAGGGCCTTTGCACTTGCTCTTTCCTGGGCTTCCCATGTTCTTCCTTACCTCTTTCTTTGGCAGACTTTCCAGTTCCTTCGATACCAGTTTAAAGGTCACCTCCTCAGGGACATTCTTTGAACACCCTACCCAAGTAGGTCTCTTGCTATTTTTCTCTAGTTTAGTACTACGTATTCCTACTGAGCACATGTCATAGTTGGCTTGAATATTGTCTGCCTCAGCTAGAGTCTGATGACCAGGCTGTGAGCAGCAGGCTGAGACCATGCCAATCATAGTCTCTATACTCCCGAATACCTGATACCCAGTGTAAGCTCAGGACAGACTGAGTGGATGTGCCCACCAACTGGGGCTGCAGCAAGAGAAGGTGCTGGGCTTCCTCATAGCTTCCTTCCCTGACCAGGCTGTGGAGCGGCTAATCCACCCCCAGCTCTGTGAGTTGTGTATAGAGACACTGGAGCGGCACGTGGTCGAGGCCATCAACTCCAACCCCTCTCGGGGAGGTGAAGAGGCCCTTCATGCCTTCCTGCTTGTGCACTCCAAGCTGCTGGCCTTCTACTCCAGGTGAGCCAAGCCCCAGCCCCCACCTGCCCCATTCTTATTCCCTCTGCTGGAGAATCATGGTCTCCTTGCCCAGGAACCCCCTCAACTTCCATGCAGCTCCCCCAGACTTTACTCCCCCCCCCCCCCCTGCCCCATTCTTATTCCCTCTGCTGGAGAATCATGGTCTCCTTGCCCAGGAACCCCCTCAACTTCCATGCAGCTCCCCCAGACTTTACTCCCCCCCCCGCCCCAGCCCCTTGAATCTCTAAGGCACTTCTTCCTGGAACACTTCATAGTCTCGTTAAAGAGACCCATCTTTATGCTCTTACTGGTCTCTGGGGCTTCCCCATTGTTTTGTTTTTTCCACAGCCAAATTTCATTCTCAAAATTGATAAATTAATTTTATTTATACCTATCTCCAGGAAGGATTAAGTTAGCCAGCCCATGGGCACACTCCTTGAGGGCAGCACTGGGCTCCAAGCTATGCTGACAGTTGTCCTGCTCCTATTTCCACAGCCACAGTGCGAGTTCCCTGCGCCCAGGCGACCTCCTTGCTCTCATCCTCCTGGTTCAGGACCTCCACCCCAGCGAGAACACAGTGGAGGAGGATGGTGATGCCCAGGTGTCAAGGCAGCAGGAGGCCATCAGGGAGATGGCTTGGAAAGCCTGCTTGGAGAGTGGTGGGCGGGCCCTGGGGGCTGTGCCTGCCTTGGCACCATCTGGACAAGTGGGTGGGTGTGGTGTTTTCCCGTGGAAGGGGAATTCTGAAATGCCTATAGTCTGGTGGGTTAAAAGTGCAGATTTATGGAATTGATCCTAGTTTGAAACCCAGCTTCTTAACCATGTGAGCTGAGATTCCTTTAGTTTGCAGTGTGAACAGTGGGGGTGTTGCCCTCACAGGGGTGTTATGAGGGATAAAGAAACAAGTCACATAATGCCTGGCAGTGCCTGGGCAGAGCGAAGGCTCAGTGTTAGCCAACCTGTGGACATTGTTGTGTTCAGTGGCAGAGAGGTGCTGCTTTGAAATGCGTTGGGAGTTCTGGAGAAAAAATGGACCACCCAGAACTGAAACCTCCCTGGAAACTCAGGACTGTGCACGTTGGGTAGCACACGGAATAGGCTGGAGGGGCAAAGGACTTCTCTGTGAAGTGCTGGAAGGCAGAGGATTGGTGGTGAGCAGCCAGGTCAGATGTACACTAACCAGTGTCTCCACTGTCCGAAGCCTTCCCCACACAGAAGACCCCAGAGCAGCCAGAACATCCCTGTGCAGCAGCCCTGGAGCCCACACACCTCAGGCCCAATCAAGAACAGTTCTTCAGGGACGGTGTGTGCCACATCCTGTGTGAAGGACAGAGGGTGGAACTGCCTCATCATATGACCAGCCTCTCCCTGGAGAGCAGGGGCTGAGTCACCTGAGAGAGTCTCACCTGGCCCTTGGCTCTTCGTCTGAGCTTGCACTTCTCCCAGCAGGACACAGACAGCTTCTCCTTCCCAGAGGAGTACTTCACACCAGCTCCTTCGCCTGGGGAGCAGAGCTCAGGTGAGGCCTGGAGACAAAGCAGTGGTGGCAGAATGGGGATGGTTGCCAGTGTGTAGCCAAGGAAACTTGTCTTACTGTTCAGTGGATCCTCAGGTGCCTCATAAAGGCCAAGCAGGGTGATTGTTGTAGTCAGGGTTTTAACAAGGGAAATGTTTAATACAGGACACGTAATTTATAAGATTATTTTATGATACTTACCCAAAAAGTCAAAATACAGAGGAGTGCAAGAGATTAACCGCACACTAGAGGCCCAAAGAATCCAACCAAGGGCCTGGATCCCACAGCAATGTCCCGCACAAGTCCAGCTAAAAGCTTAGGGTCCAAGGCAGTGTCCTCCACAAGTCCATCCAGTGGCCTAGAGCCCACAGCAATGCCTCCTGCTTGTTCGTATTGAGGATCTGCACCCAAAAGGCCCAAAGGCCAGTAGTGGAAGCCAAAGAACCTTCACTAGTGGAATGAAGGATTTGTGCCACCAGGCTGAGGGATCTACATTGGAGCCAGGAAGTGATGCTCACGGTAAAGATGAGAGCTCCCTTGATGAGAACAGCAGCCATTCCCAGCAACAGCAAGGCCCTGAGCTCCTCCTCCAATGAGAACAGCCTAGTTCACTTCAGGAAAACCATGCACAGCAAGCATCTCCTAGAAAATCAACAGCCAACGATCTTCTCCTCCCATTCTCTTTTTATGGCTATTGGCAACAATCCTCAGGTGGATCTTCCATGCCCAGACCACACTAATTCAGTTCAGCTGGGCATTACAAGTTGCTCATTCATTAATCCACCACAGTGCTCAAACTCTGCGCAAGATGTCTGTGGCTCTGTCTTCTCTACCAGCCCCTGCATGAATGCAAGAACTCCTAAGACTATTCATATAATCCATAAAACTTTCTATGACATGTTGATTTCTTTTAAAAATTCATCTATATGTATATTCTAACCTCATTCTTTTTGTAGCTAATTAAGTCTTTAAGTAAAATTAAATAGTAATCATTTGATTTCAAGTACATTTTAAAATATAAATATTCAACCTCTAGTTTATACCTTAACCTGTTTTTCCATTGTACGTGGATAAACAATAAAAAGGAACTATTAATATTCAAAATGTTATTAACTAAAAAATATACAAAGTTGCTTAGAGAAGATCAGCCAAAGTCCAGATTGTCATCATCTCCATGAGCGTTACATAGATGTCTCTGAAGTTTTTAGGGTAAAAGAAAGGATGCTGTTGGTTCACACTACCTGAGAGAAGAAAGGAGGCCAAAGTTGCAGAAGGAGAAATTTATTGAGGACGGTTTTGAAAGTTTATTAAGTGGCTTCCTCAAAAAGTGGCCTTAGCCCCAGCTGCACAGACTCACCTGGGGCCCCGCTGAGTCCTGTATGCCTGGCGTAGGATGCCCTACTGTGCAGTCCTTGGCCCAGGTGCATCTGTACCCAATCTGGAGATCTTTCAAAACTGTTAGAGCTGAGCTTGTGCCCTGAGATTCTAATTTAATTATTCAGGATTATGGCCAGGCCGTAAGATGTTTTTTAAATCTCCCTAAATCATCTTTGTGTTAAGCCAAGGTTGAATGCCATGGGGTTAAATATGCATAACCTTAGGTCTGTTCTTAACTTTAGCTTCATGGGGCCTGGGAGCTGTGACTGTGTGCCAGCTCATATCTTTGTGCCTTTACTGGGGTGAATGTCCATGGCCATCTGCAGACTGAACTCTCCATGAGCTCCAGGCACATGGAGCAGCACAGCTTATAGATAACTTCTGCAGTTCCTTCTTGCCACTTCCTTCCCTCATGCATCCAAACCCTCCTCCTTGCCTTCACTCTTGGTGTTTAGCTTATTTCCCAGAGTTTTAAATAATGTTCCTCTGTGCACAGAACTCACAGCTTAGAAATGGCTTCTTGTGTTACACTCATCCTTTTTTTTTTTGGCACTGGGGGCTTTGCACTGTACTACATTCTCGATCCTTTTTTATTTTGAGACAGGGTCTCAATAAAGCACTAATCCATTTCTAAATCAGGTTTTGAAAACTTAGGAATATGCTTTTCCCACAGAAATCTGATCATAAATGAGAGTTATTTGCAATGAAATTTAAAAGAATATTATTGTCACAAACATCTAACATCTCAAATAATTAGTAGGTTCAGTAGTTTTCTGGGAACTAGGAAGGAAATCAAGCTCAAATCCTAGGTCCTCAGTAAAAGTAGTGATTGAATAATTGAACAAGGAAATGTAGTCTTTGTATGCTGGCTCCTAGGGAGGGGACCTGAAGGAATAGAGGGTGAAAGGGGTTAAAGAGGGATTCTGAAGAAAACACCCCCATTGCCAGGTACATGCTCAAGAGCTCCATTCCCACCCAGCCACCAGCTCTGTTGGAATCTTGTCTCCTCCAGACCCAGATCACATTATCCCTGGTACTTACCTGGTACTTGCCAGCTGGGAAGATGATGGCTTTACTAAGGCTGCAGCCCCAGTGAGACACCTTTGTCCCACACCCCGCTCTGAGGGTGGGGAGGCTAGCTGAGCTATTGATGGCAGCTTCTGCTTCCTCTATTGGGCCATTATTTACATTCTCACAGTATTTATGTTGTTATGTTCTCACCTGTGCCTGCAGGTAGCACCATCTGGCTGGAGGTAGCACCATCTGAAGTTCCACAGGTAAGCCTCCTGGGTCTGCTTGAGCACCACTGATTGTAGATGTTGGGGAGGTACGGGGAGCACGTGCCCCTCCCAGGTTGCTCTCCACCAGTGCTGCCCTCCACCTGCCCCTTTCAGGGGGTTGAGGGTGGCCTTCCCCACCAGGCATTCACCCTTCACGCCTCATAAACTCCCACCCTCCCCATGTTTTGGGGAGTCGGAGTCCAGCTTTTACAAACTTGTTTACTGTAGAAAAAAGTGAGAAATGCAGAAGCATGCAAAAGGGAATAAAATTACTCTTAGTCCCATCCTCAAAGTGAAATTAACATTTTTGGGTGTTTTCCTCTGTTTTTCTTTCTATGATTTTATCCACACCCCACATGCATATGCAGTGTATGTATGCAGACATACTATATTTTTTCTTTTATCACATTTGGATCTGAATGTACTCCATTATGTTGCTTTACTTGAACATTATTCTATTTACAAAGTTCTCTTCAACAGTATGGGTTTTAAAGATTGTTCAAGAGACCATCCATGCATGTGTTATTATTTATTTAGCAAATCCCCAGAACAAGCAATACATTGTCTCCAGTTTTGTGTATATGCTATATATAACTAGAACCACATCCTTATAGAGAAATTTTTGTGGCATCTCTAATTATTTCCTTCATTCTCTATTTTTTCTATTAAAGGCTTTGTTTCACAGAGCCCCCTCTTAGGCTGGAGCCTTGCTCATTTAGTTGTTTTTTTTTAACCTCAGTTTCTCTAATTTGGGAAGCTGTCAGGACATTCTGAGGGCAACTGAAATGACAAGCGTGTTGAACTTGGAATACCTTCCTCTCATTGCAGGCAGGGCAGGGAGCCTCTCTCCCACTCCCTAGTGTCTGTCCGTCCTGCCTTTTCTATCCCTTTGGGCTACCCACCTCCTGTGCCCATTTCCTACCGCAGCCCCTGTGACCCAATCCTGACTCTGGGCAGAAAGGTTCAGGAGAAGCTGTGGGACCAGACAGACAGCAGGGACTACAGCTGCCAGGACAGTTTCAAAGAGGGCAGGGATGTAAGAACTTGGATTTCTTTGAGCTAGACACTTACATTCCCCATGATTCATGGGCAGGGCAGGGAATGGACACCCGTGGGTAGATCCCACTAGGGGTGGAAGCCAGATGGCTCTTTCCTCCCTGCCCACTTCACTGACAGTTCCTTCTCCGCAGGTAGCTGAGGACACCCTCCAAGTGCTAGCTCCTCATTCCTCAGTGCCTTCCAGTCCCAGAAGGATCTTCCTGGATGCCAGTGTAAAAGACAACTACTGCCCTTTGGTGCCCCACACAATGTACTGTCTGCCACTGTGGCCAGGCATCAGCATGGTGCTCCTGACCAAGGTACGAAGCCCCTCTCCCTGCCCTGGTGGTGCTTGGGGCACCTGTTCCACTTGCCCTCTGCCCTTTCCTGCAGAGCCCTAGCACCCCACTGGCCCTGGTTCTGTACCAGCTGCTAGATGGCTTTTCTCTTCTGGAGAAGAAGCTGAAGGAGTGTCAAGAAGCTGGGAGTGCCCTGCGGTCCCTGCCCCTTGTGGGAGACCTGCGCCAGAGGATGGACAAATTTGTCAAGAATCGAGGAGGCCAAGAGATTCAGGTGGGGGCCAGGCTGTAGGGCAAATTTATACCTAGCAAATGAGAGGCTAACAGTTCTGTCCTTGCTTCCCACAAATCTGTGATTCTTGTTTTACCCGTTATGAAAAGATAACAAAAACTGAACAGCTGCACTCCAAGTTTTAAGAACATTTTATGTGAGTTTAGCAGAACACAATTGTAATACCTGATTTTTAGAGGAAGAAACTGAGGCTTGGATAAGTTGTAACTTAGCCAAGATTAGCTGGCTCGTTCATGAGCAGCAGAGCCAAAGCTTGGATGCAATGATACATTAAAGACCAGTGACCTGCACATCATGGGGCATCCTCCCTGCAGTGTGGCCTGTCACCTGGGCACTAGGAGTAGCATACAGAAGTGTAGGACACAGCCCTACTCCCTCCCTGTAAAGCATGGAAGTGAGGTAGGAGCTGAGACCAAGAGCCCAGGACAGTTTATAAACAACTGAAGGCAGTGTACCCTGACTGATTGGGCCTAGAGGGAGGCTGAGGAGGAGGAGCAGTTAGTGAGCTTGGCTGTTGGGGACACACATGCAGCTGGCCAAGCCTGGGTGTCTCTGAGGAGCTAGGATTCATTGGCAGGAGTGCATGTTGATCTGGAAAGGAGCAGAAGGATCAGAGGAAGCATGGAAGTGGCTGGTACACCAGACACATCTCCTCTCTGGAAGAGAGAGATCAGCAGGCAACACAGCTGGTGGCCCAGTAGAATGCTAAGTTGTTATGCTTCAGAGAGAGCCACTCCTGGTCTCCTGCAAGGCCTGTCCAGCAGCCACTCCCTCTCACCAACCCTAGCCTTGTGTGTCTACCCCTTGAGGGGCTCTCCGTGTTGCTCTGATGGCATTAAGTGTGCATGGCTATGGCCATCAAGGCTGGAAACACTAAACTTGGCCCAGAAATTGCTGCTTAAATACCTGCTGAGGGAACAGAATATGGTGGCCTGCGTGCACAGAGCGCTGGCAGAGGGCCACTGCTGAAGCCTGCTTTGGCCATAGGAAAGCGTATTCCTCTGGATCCTGGTGCTCCTCTGCCCAACTTGGGTAAGGGTCCCTGGGACCTCACTGTGTAAACACGGTCCAGAAAGTAACTACCCATCCTCCTTACAGAGCACCTGGCTGGAGTTTAAAACCAAGGCCTTTTCCAGAACTGAACCAGGATCCGCCTGGGAGTAAGTAGTAGCCCCTGAGGACAAGGGAGTCCTTGGGAAAGGACAGACATTCACCAGAGACCAGAGATCCCTGCAGGCTCCAAGAGAAATGCTCAGGAAGGAGCCAATGCATAGGAGAGTCCTAGGGAAGCAGAGGACCAGCCTACAGGCTGCAGGGACAGAGCTGGAAATGGAGGGTGGGGTGTGAGGGCACTTGGCACCCAGATAACCCAGCTGCGGTTGCAGCGTTGATTGGGTGCTGCCTCCCGCAGGTCACTGCCTGCAATAACTAGCAAGATGTTGTGGCTGGCAGAGGTGTCCTAGAGCCGGGTGGCACGTTGGGGAGTGCTGGGAAGCTGCCTCCTGGCCCACTAAAGAGTATGTTGTGCTTGATGGGCATGGCCACACGGGTCAGGCACTGTGTCTTTCCTGCTGTGATTCGGTCACCTGGCGTCCAGGCTGCTCCAAGTGTGTGGAAAGCTGAAACGGCAGCTCTGCGCCATCTACCGGCTCAGCTTCCTGAGCACCGCACCCAGCAGGGGAGGCCCGCACCTGCCACAGGTTCTACAGGATCAAGCCCAAAGGCTCATGCGGTAAGTGTGGAGTGGGCCCTAGATGGAGCAGGAGCAAGAGAAGCAGGGGCCCCTCACAACTCCTGCATTTTGCTGTTCCTTTTGGCAGAGAAAGGCTACTGGACTGGAAGGACTTCCTGTTGGTGAAGAGCAGGAGGAACATCACCATGGTGTCATATCCTGATGCCTGGCTCAGCCTTATGTCCAGGACTCCAAGCTCTGGGGAAGGAAGGAAATGTTTTCCACCACCCCAATTTCCTTTCTATGAAGGAAAACAATTGGGAATAGTGTCCCATGTGCCTCATCTATAGGAACACTCTAACACCAAAGTTCTAAAAATTCTTCTTGTCCCAAAGTGAATTCCTAAAAGCTCTAAAGATCCTTCATGTCAGTGCTGTCCAGCCAACAAAATGGTAACAGGTTTTGGGGGGAGGGATGGGGTTCTAGAGATCTGATTGGTTCAGGAGGACCATGTCATCCTTGGATTGTGACAGTACCCTGTAGCGTGTAAAGGCTCTTGACATGCCCTGTAGCAAATATGTATCCCTGTTTAAAGAATCATTTCCGAGACTTACTTGACCCTAGTATTATGGAACACTAGTTTTTATTGAGTACTTATTTTCCAGGGAATTTCAAGCCACTTTTCCTATTCTAAAGGCTCTGAAGTATCAGCCATTGGTCTCCCAGGCCTTTGGTCTTCAGGAGGCAGGTGAGAGGGATGCCAGGAAGCTCTTCACCAGCCATTGTCCTTCCAGAGCAGTGCTCTCCATGGTCCGTGGCTCTCTAAGCACCTTAACTCAGGCCATTACCTACCTGGAAGACTTCCCAGGCTTGGTGCATTTCATCTATGTGGATCGCACAACGGGGCAGATGGTGGCTCCTTCCCTCAGCAACAATGAAAAGACTTCATCAGAGTTGGGCAAGGGGCCCCTGGCTGCCTTCGTCAAAGCCAAGGTAACTGTTCCTCTGGCCCTAGTTCTCTTAACTGCCCATGGGGTGGGATATGCTGAGGCCTGACCCCCACTCAGGAAGGATAGGTCCATTGTCCTCTGTACTCTGTCCTGTGGAACTTTTATTGTTCCAACCGTACCCCTTTCTGCACTCATCTGTCAGTGTCAGCATGCCCTGTTAGACCTGCTGCAGCTGTTTTCTGGACCTGAGGAGTGGGTACCCAGAGCTAGGTGGGCCTTTGGTCCATAGGGGGCAGCAACTCCAGCTGTGTACATATGTGCCTGGAATTAGCAGAATGCCATGGGCAGCCAGGTCAGGGGAGAAGATGGCCAACCCTAGCATGCTCAACAGTTAGTGGAATTAGCTGAAATGGAAAGAGCTGCAAGATTAATCAATTTGGGCATCAGAAGTTTGTTTGTTTGTTGTTTGTTGGTTTTGTGGTACCAGGGATGGAACCCAGGACCTCCAATAGGCTAAGCAAGTACTCTGCCACTGAGGTATACCCTAAGCCTCATCAGAATTTATAGCTAAGTGGTTTCTACTGAGGAAACATTGTCTGGGAATTCTTTTCTTCTCATAATTTAACTGACTTTATTTTTTTGTGCATAACTTATTTTTTTGTATGGGAAAAGGAAATTCTCCTTCCATTTTTTTTTGAAGTACTGGGAATTGCATCCAGGGCCTTTTCACTGAGCTACAGCCCCAGTCCATTTTATTTTATTATTTTATTTATTTTGGGGGGATAAAATCTCTCTAAGTCACTAAGTTACCCAGGCTGGGCCTGAAATTGGAACCTTCCTCAGACTCCCAGAGTGCTGGAATTCAGGCATGTACTGCCATATCTGGCTTCTACCACTTTCTGAAAAACTGTTTTTTGTCCAAATAAAGTCTATCCTAATGATTCAAATAAGCTGGGTAGCAGAAGGCTTGTGTTGAAACCCAGATCTGCCTCTCACTAGCTGTGTGTTTCAGGTTCCTTTTCAAAGGAAACAAGAACACTGTCTTACTGTACGGACACTGTATCATTGTAAAAGATTATGAGATGATGCATATAAAATATTTAGCATAATTGTATGGCATAAAATACAGATACAGTTTTTGTCACTGCTGACTTCAGCCTCATCCTTCCCTGTAGAGACAGTTGAGCTCCCTGACACATTGCTTTTTGTTGTTGTCTATGCAGTTTGTTGCATTTGAACTCACTCTGTCTTTGCAGCTGTGTTTGCCATATTTCCACATCACTCTCCTCATGCCAGTAAATCTTCCAATACATGATTTTTAGCAACTCTATAATAGTCCGTCATGTGACATAATTCATGTAACTATTTCCCTAGTGTTTGAACCTTTAGATTATCTCCCAGCTTTTGTTGTTATAATTCTTCAATACACATCTTTTATGCATACACCTGAGTTCTCATCTCTGATTATTTCTTCAACAGAAATTCCAAGAAATGGAATTACTAAGTCCATGGGAGGAGTGTTTTGGGGGTTATTAATGCATGTTGTCAAGTTGCTTTCCTCTAAAATAAAGCCAATCTGTATATCTGTGTATAGATTTAATTAGTACATTGTGATCAGGTATGGAATGAATCTCATATTGACCTTCCTCTGGGGCTTTTAGTGAGAGTGCTCACAAGACCTTTTCCCAGACCTAATGTAAGGGGAGAACTGAGCAGTCAGACTGTCTTCCCTTGGGCATCTCTCACATAGCCTCGGTTACAGACCCTGCTTAGGTAGGACAGCATCACCAGGAGAGGGGAGCCTAAGGCAGATGATCCATTGGGTCCACTCTTTTCATCAGGGGTTTGTACTTGACCCACAGAGCAGAGGACATTGCCTAGCTCTGGGTGTCTGTATGTTCAGACACACTTCCCAGCTCCTGGTGTGGACCTGTGTGGACCTGTGTGTTACAGCCCAGCCCTTGGAGGAGGGGTGAAGTAGGGGCTATGCAGAGGGCCTTTCTGGGTGGCCACACCTTGATCTCCTATCATGTTCATTCACTGTCCTTGGCTGTTTTCTGTCTTGAAAGAGCGGTTTACTAGTTTGTGACTTGTATATATAGTACAGTTATATAAATTATTTTATCCCTACAACTGCTAGATGGGGACCCCATCCATCCCTGCATCCCTTCCAGGAGTATTTCAGCCCAGTGCTTTGCGTCCTTCCTTTCTTCCTTTAGGGGTAAGAGGGGCTGCCTGGTGTGCCATTCAGGGTGGCTGAACACTGTGCCTTTCCCCAGGTCTGGTCTCTGATCCGGCTGGCACGCAGGTACCTGCAAAAGGGCTGTACCACACTGCTGTCCCATGATGGAGACTTCTGCTGCTCCTACTTCCTGTGGTTTGAGAACGACATGGTGCGTGTGGTGGCTTTCTGGGCAGGATGGTCCTGAGCCACCCTTGAATTCCCTTTTTCTGCACTGTGTTCAGTCTGTCAGTCTTTCTTCTCTTGGCTCTAGTGTAACAACAGGGAAGCACAGTGGCTAGGATCCAGAACCTAGGTCATATTGTCACTCTGGCATCGAATTTTGTGGTCCCTCCACCCACTACCTGGCAGACTTGTGCCACTGTTCAGGCAGTATCCAAGTAAATGCAATGGATCCATTCCTACACTGAGATGGAGCCTCAGGCAGTGACTCAGTCAGTAGTGCTTCAATGTCATTGCCTTCCTGTATGAAGGTACTTTCCCAGCACCAAGCACACTGTAGGCCATGCCAGGGCTCAACCCAGTTCATTTCCCCTCAGGCCCACATTCCTCACCCACACCCACCCACCCCCCTTTTGTCTCAAGACCTTCTTTCCCTTCCACAGGGCTACAAACTCCAGATGATTGAGGTGCCTGTCCTCTCTGACGACTCAGTCCCCATTGGTGTGCTGGGAGGTGACTACTACAGGTGATGCCAACTCAGGATGTGGGGCCCTGTGTACCTTAGGTGTAGGTGATGAGGCCAGCCCCCCAGGGTTCAACTCCTCCAGGAATGTCCCATTCAGGATGGGGACCTCTCACAGGATGGGGACCCCTCACAGGCTGGCCTGGCATCCCATGGGACAGGAACCTCCTGGAGAGGACATCTGTGTCCTGCCTGTCCTACACTTGGCTCCGTCTTGGCACCATGGGGAAACATCTGTGTGGGCCCAGACCTTCCCCTGTTTCCCCTTAGCTAGATTGCTCAGCCATGTGAAGACTGAGCCCCAAGAGAGGAACTGTGGCTCAGAGCTAAGGCCAAAACGTTAGGTCATCAGGAACAGGAGACAGGTTTACCAGCCCAGGAGCTGGGGCCCAGTGAGAGTACCAAGAGATGAGCACTTGACTGGCTGCCCAGGAAATGCCCCTGGTGTGGGAAGAGTGCAAAGGCCTTGCTCCTGAGTTCTGTCCTCCCATTTCCCCCAGGAAGCTCCTGCGCTACTACAGCAAGAGTCACCCAGCTGAGGCTGTCAGGTGCTATGAGCTGCTGGCTTTGCACCTGTCCGTCATCCCCACTGACCTACTGGTGAAGCAGGCCAGCCAACTGGCCAGGCGCCTGAGTGAGGCCTCTCGTTTGCCCCTGCCCTAAGCCAGGCTGCACTGCCCAGTGTGCAGTAGGCCCATGTGCCTGTTCTCCAGCCACCCCGCTTACAGATGTTCTGAGCAAGAGCTTCCTCCCTCCTGTCCCCAGTAGCCTCCTGGGGATACACACAGGTCCCAGAGCAGCCCCAGGATTTCTCAGACCCTACCTGGACCACCTCCACATGGCATAACAAGCAGGCCCCCAAATCCTCCCCACCGGAGGGAAAGGGAGGTCACAGGCTTCCTCTTTACAACAGCTATGGCTGTGAGATGGCAGTGGCTCCTTTTTCAAAACTACTTCTGTCCCCAGGAGAGAGGGAGGAAGTCCTTGGAGCTCAGGCTGCTGTAGACCTACACCCCCCCCCCACCCCACCCCCGCTGCTGTTTTGCCTGAGGGGCTCTTTTTCCTACCCCAGATGAAAGGTGCTCCATTGGCTGGCTTGAATTCCAGCTCTGCTGCCTCCCCCTGCCACTTCTGTAGCTCTGGACATGCTATGCCCATTTCCCCATGTTTAAAATGTTAACACCTTCCTCTCAGGGTAGTTGGGAGGATTACTCAACATTGATATATACTCAATAAATGTTGGTTTTTGTCAGCATCCAAGCCTAAAGTGCCTATGCTTCTGGACCTTTTGTTGATGCTGACAAGCTCTTGCAGGTCCTGGACCCTCCAAGCCTGCTCACTTCCTCTGGGGCTGTGATTCGGAGCTCCAGACCCTCGCCCAGCAATTCAGATTCTCTTGGTCAGTGTGTACCCTGGATTGAGACAACTTCTGAGGGCTCTAGCCCCTCTCTTCTAACCAAGGATTCCTTCCCTGGGATGGGCACCAGGACAGAGTCTGTTAAGAGTGCTGGGACACAGGGGTATCCACTCCTCTTGGGCAAAGAGGTGGTGCTTGGCTTGTGAGAAGAGGTGCAGCAGAAATACACAGTCACTGCAGAAAGGACTGGATGCCCCAAGTTGTGCACGAGAGCCCAGCCTTCTGTGTCTGCCTTGGGCTGACACTTAGGCAAGGACTGGTCTTTCCTTTGCAGGGGTCAGGTTTGAAGAGAACAGAGGTGCTAAGAGCTAGAGTCCTTAGAAGGTGGCAGTGAGGAGCAGTGTCAATGGAGACGACAGATCAGTGTTCCTTTTTAATACCATGATTTTATAGGTGGCAATTAAAAATATTCAGTGTGGAAAACACAGAAGAGCACAAAGGAAAAATAATTTAGCCTATAAGCCCCCCACTGCTTGACACCTAATATTCTTAAAAATTAATGTCCCCTCTTAAATTTTAGTAGCCACAAGGTGTGAGTTATCTAGTTTAATGGAGTATCTTGACTTCTACACAGTCATCCCTGACTGTGCATTGGTGTTTGAGTCCAATACCTGCTGTGGATACCAAAATCTGCAGGTATTCGTCCCTTAAATAAAATGGTTGTCTCTTACACTTTTAAGTCATTTCCAGATTACTTATAATACCTAACACTGGGTAAATGCCGTGTAAACAGTTGCTATACTGTACTGCTTAGGGAATGACAAGGAAAAACATCTGTATGTATTGGGTGCAGACATTGTTTTTCAAATGTTTTTATCTTCAGTTGATTGAATTCACAGTGTGGAACCTGTGAATAAGCACAATCAACTGTATTACAAATAACCCTTGGTGAATAGTCTGAACTGAATTTTAGCAGAGATCCACACATGGTATGAACCTTCGCTGGTGTGAAGAAGGCCTGCGCTGAGAGTAGAGGGCTTCTCAGAAAGCCCATACTGAGAGCCATCTTTCCACATCTTCCAGTTCTGAGAGTCACTCTGCCTGCAGGGTCAGAGCTCAAGGGCCCTTTCTCATACAGGAGAACATCTGTGGAGGGGTGTTAGGAACAAAGGAGCTCCTGCTTCAACACCCAAGATGGTAAATCCTTAGCTGAGGATATTTACAGATGTGATCTTTAATCCTTGAGGATCCTTAGAAAATGTGGAAAGTGCCAAAAGACAGGCCTTCAATGAAATAAGGTGAACTCTGAGAACTGAAGACCGTGAACTTGACCCCAGTCTCTGGAAGACTATAGCAGCCCGCTGAGAATGAGGCAGGGGAGTAAGGGGCTCCCGGCCACAGACGAGGCCCTAGCCCTGATAATGCTAAAGGTGGCTGTGGTAGTTCTTCCGTCAGCGGCTGCCTGTGAGTATGAAGCTGCCACCACCTGCAGGAGGACAGGGAGCCAGGGTGGGATCTGACATGGCCATCCTTCTCCCGCTCTGCAGGATTGCCATGCAGTGTGTCCCAGAGAGTTTCCTTTCAATAAGCGAAAGAGGAGGGGCCCCTGGCTCCACCACTGGCCACCTGCCCTTACAACCATCCACAGAACGCTTGGCGCCCAGGAGCCCTAGTCAGCGTTGACCTTCCTCCCCGGCCTTCTGGAGGCACCCTCCTCCCTTGACCACAGCACACTGTGTGGCCCAAGGCCAAAAGCTGACAGCCGGCCTGCAGCTCCTCCCACTTCCTCTTCCAGCCCCTCCCTCTGCCTGGCCGGGGCACCGAGCGGACTGCTGGCACATTCCTAGAGGCAGACATGGCTGCTAGCTTCCGAGGTCTCAGTAGGGTTGTGGGGGTCTCTCCCCGCCTTGCTTGGAGACGAGTTCACTCAGAAGCTGGGGGACACGTGAAGGCCGAGTACGATGCGGTGGTGATAGGAGCAGGTAAAGCAGAGGAGCCACAGCCGAAGGCGGTCAGGCAGCCCTGCGCCGAGGCCTGGGGGGAGGGGTTGTTTACTGAGCCCCACTGCCTCCGCTCCTCTGGGCACAACTTGGCCAGAGGTTTAGCCGAGACGGGCAAGGACGGAAGGCTCTCTAGTCTGGGAGTCTGCAGTTCTGGGGCCAGCTCTGCCCTGGGCTTGCTGTGTGCCAGAGGGCAAATACTTGCCCTCTCTGCTCTTAAGTCTTGCCATCAAGAATGACAAGAGCTCAGGGGCTTCCCTGTGTCTCCTGCAAAATGAGAAAAATAAAGCTGACCAGAATCATAAAAATGTTAAGAAAATACGGAACTGAGTCCCAGAGACCCTCCAAGGGTAATGGCCTCTATTACCTTTCCCTCAGTCGTTTGGACCCTGCTGCTGTGGTCCTGCAGACCCCACACACACACCCGTACCCCCCCTTAATGTACCCAAGTTTGCTGGGTGACTGGGTGAGACTACCCCCTCCCCCAGGCCTTCTACCCACATTTGGAGAGGGCACAGAATGCTGCTGAATGCTCTTCCCACAGCTTTAGAGTTAACCCTCTGGTTTGGCATCTTCATTCTCTTGTGTCTAAAAGCGGGAGCTGATAGTGTCTTCATTGAAATGAAGATGTGTAGTACAAAGAGTTTTTTGTTTTTTCCTCAACATTGGGGATTCTACCACTGAGTTCTCTGCCACTGAATGCAGCACACAGTTTAACAAGTCAAATATATAACACTCTTAATTTAAATTCCAGGTAGCCACTTGAATCTTTTTTTCCCCTTGTGCTGGTGATTGAACCCAAGATCTTGTGTATGTTACCACTGCACTACATCCAGCCCTTTTTATTTTGTTTTGAAGCAGGGTCCTCAAGTGTGTGATCCTCCCACTTCAGCCTCTTGAATGGCTGTGATTACAGGCATGTACCATTGCACCAGGTTGCCAGTTGATTCTTAACAATGTTATCTTTCATTTTTGCCAAATTCAAGTGGCCAGCCTACCATTCATTGCCATTCACAAGTGGATGTAGCTCTGAAAGGAATGCTTGATCTTTTCATTTACTTTAAGAAATAGAGCAAAACTCTATTCCTTCTTCAGTGATAAGAATGACTTTGCTTAGTCAGAGAATATTTTCCTGGTGCTGGAAGAATATTTTCTCCATTTTTGTTGCTGTTTATTTCCAATGTAACAGCTACAGACTCGAGGCATGATTAAATTTAGCCTGCAGTCACTTTCTTAAGCCTAAGTAGATCTAGCCTTGATGTGTGCTGTGTGCTGACATGTATATTAAGTATTTCCACATGGACTTGGCCTTTCTCTACCAACTGAGGCAGCTGCATACGATCTGGGAGAGAGACGCAGTAGCACATCCCTCTGTATCCACCACTCAGGTGCATAGAGGCAGGTGTCCAACTACAAGAGCATGGGCCATAGGCAAATGTAGTAAAATAATTAAAAAGCAATGAGTTTTTGGTAGTTATTACCTTTATTTTTAATATCATTTATTTGATGGGAAGCTTATATAATTTATTTTTTACTGATGGCTGTGTTTGACAACTGATCGACAAACCCCTGGACAGTGGGAACAGCTCCAACACACACTCAGTGGGCTCAAGAAGGGCAGCACCCAGGCCTCTGAGCCTCAGAGAAGCTTCCTGCTCCTTTCATTTAGTCACAGCCCAGTTGCTGGCTCCTAATTGGCAAAGTGGACTCTGGGGCACCAGCTGCCTTGGTGAGTGTACCCCAGCATGAGCGCTTTTCCTTCACATGCCTTTGTTAATTGCTGAACATACCTTGAAACCTGATTTAAAGGGATTCAGGCCTGAGTGAAGACAGAGTGGCATCTTATGAGGTAAGGGTTATATCTGAGTCCCTGAAGTCATCAGTACTTGGCAGCCTCTTCAAAAAGAGCCTGATTTCACCATTTGACCAAATGTGCTCAAGAATGACCTGAGGAGCTTGTTAAAATGCAGATTTTCAGGCCTCGTAGCAGGCGATCAGGACTGTGTGTGCCATCAGCACACATACCCCCACCAGTGCTATGAGTGTGTCTGTTGCAGGCAGCTACGGAACCTGTGCCAGGGCAGCCCCTCTCAAGGTTCTGCTGACTGAGGAGCCAGGGCGGCAGCCTGGGGATGAGCCAAGCCTGCAGCCTAGGATCTCCCAAGGCCGCAGGAGAGCTCTACTGGAACTTGGGAAGATTCTGAGCTTTTGGACCCTTGCCATGTGAGATCTGTTTGTGCATCTCTGGGCTTACCCACCATGATTGAACTGGTTACCTGGGGTTCCATCACTAGGGGAGGAACAAGTGCCTATCAGAAGGGGTATCACAGGTTACATCCAGTTGCCTGGAAGATGTTAGTTTTCCAAGAGTGATAATCACACAAACTAAAAGACAAATAGCTACCATATTTATTGGAGGCCTGCTAAGTCCAGGTGCTTTGCAGATAGTGATTAATCCTCTTTCAACACGGCAAGGTTCTCAGTATCCTCTCTGTTTCAAATACATTAGGGAGCATGAGGCTCCTCACTGTTAAATGCCTCTCTGAGGGCCATACCAGGGTATGTGGCAGAGCCAGCATACAGACCGCCTACCTTGAACCTGTGGGATATATGGAAGGAAGAGTTTCTCAAACTGCAAGTTCATGTCATTCATGTGTCCCAACCAGCATATTTTTTTAACCTTTCTTAGAAAAAATTTCCAACACTTTTTAAAAAGAAATATAACCAAATAGATTGTCACATGCTTATCACATGGTGAAAGTTAATATTAGTTCATGAAACTTTGATTTCTGTGAAATATGTTTATTCATGTAGTATATGCCAGATCATGGTGTCAGGCACTTTTTTTTTTCTCTGTGGATCATATTCAAAAAGGTTTGAAAAACTCAGTTTCAGAGATTCCATTAATGAATGAGAAGTTGGCTGAGTGACCTCCAAAATTCTGGGAGTCTTTATGTGGGAAATTTAAAAATGACCCAGCCATTAAAAAAATTTCATCATGTGAGTCATTGATGCTCTCCTGCTTATGAATATTTGTCCGAGTAATAATTGAGCATTTCATTTGAGTCAGCATTGGTCTTTGCTCAGAAATCATGGCCATCTACGGACATTTAAAGACTCAGAGAGGCCATCTATCACCGAGGAGAAAAAGAACCAGTCCAGGGGCTGGCTGCCAACCACTGGGGCCTGATCTCTGCTGACAAGTGATTCTCCACTACCAGCTGCTTTTTCTCCTGAGTAGGGAAAGGAAGAGACCAGCTCAACCTAGGGCCTGTGTGCTCGGCATGGATCAGAGAGCAGGAATGAACAGGAAGCACACGCCAACCTGTTGGGGACCCTCCAGGAAAGGGGTGTAGGAACTGACCCTCACCTAACTTCCCAGGTGGTTTTGAGCTTGTCAGAGCTGGAGAGGCACTCACTATTCGTGGCTTGCTGTGGAACGTGGGACCCCCAAACCAGCCCAGCAGCAGCCCTTCTCATATTTTTAGAAAAAAACTATATGATAAAAAACTTTGTCCCATCAGCTAGCACCCTTAAGCACACCTTGAAGCTATATGTGTTGATTTCATTTTTTACTCTTCATGTCATTTTGGAACACTGTAGATTGGTGGAGACACCTCTACATGGGTAAAGCCCTCTTGGGCCCTTTTGGGCCCTTCATGAGCCACACTTGGGGAACAAACACAGGACAGCAGCTCCCACCTGAGCACCACTCACCTGGATGGCCCATGTACACCAGCCCTTTCCCACAATGTAACCTGTGATTCCCCCTCTGACAGCCACTTGTTCCTCCCCTAGTGATGGAAGCCCAGGCAATCGTGGATTTCTCCTTGCCCCTCACTTCAGTATGGAGCTACTGACCAAGCCAGAGGGCATCATTCTTTTCAAGCCAGCACAAGAACTGTAGTTTTCGGACTCCTCCTAAATTGGCTGTTCTCACATCCCAGTGCAGGTTGGAGAGAAGCACCAGTGCTTTTTCTGGACTGGGGCAGGGATGAGTGACCTCATCCCTGATACACCAAGGAATGTGTGTATCTGTCCACTGACCAGTGACATTCTCCCCCCCCTCCCTTCTCATTACAGGACACAATGGGCTGGTGGCTGTGAGTACTTCCCTTTTGGCCCCATGTCACTGGCCCTGGAGCCTGTGACTCCCAGCACGCTGAGCAACAGCATGAGGAAGCAGGCAGGGTTAAGGCCCAGGACAGCTGTCCATTCTCCCAGTACCCATCTACAGCCAGTCAGGGAGGGTGTCACAGTTCCCTCTCTTGGCCTATCCTAAGGCATGTGGTCCCCCCATGCCCTGTGGGCAGTCAGGGAGCATTGAGAAGTGTGCTGATGAAAAATGGGAAGACATACACATAACTGGCCCAGAGGAAGTGGATTAGAGCCTGAGGATCAGGACCGGGGGCTAGAAGGGACTCTGACTCCAGGTTAAGGACTGTCCTTGTCTAGAGGGACTGTGCTCCCCAGCAAGATTTAAGTGGTGTACCACCCAGAGCACATAGTTGCCCTGTGTCCAAAGTGTGCCCTGGCAAGGTGAGGAGCCCCACCTCACAGAGGGGCCGGGGACCCTATGCTAGCACAGCTGGCTTCTAGATCCCACACTAGCTGGGCCAGAATCACCCCCAAGCTGTGCTTCTCCCTGAGCCCATACACCTCAAAGAGGCCACAGAACAAATGTGGGCCATCATCTGAAAGCAGTGGCAGCTCTGGAATATCAAGATAGGGAAACTTGGAGAAACAGTGAGATGCCAAGGGACATTTGCTAACCCTTAATCCTTTGCCTGATGCATCGGTTTTATTTGAACATTCTACAATAATTTTAACTGGTTTTATTATTAATGTAAACATGGGTTTGTGTCCCAGCTCTACCACTTCTCTCTGTAAAGGTGATTCATATGGCCTTTCTGGGCCACAGTAAAATGGGAATAACGGCTCCCACCTTGCAGAGATGCTGTGAAGGTAACAGTGTGCAGCACAGACCTGGCATGTTAAGCTTGTCACAAGTGGTGGCTCTTATTGGATGTGTTCAGCCCAGGGAAGGCTAGTGTCCTCCAAGGGGCACCAGGATCACAGCTATGGTTATCCAAGTTGAGTTTCTTACTCATTGCAGCAAGGGAGAAACACACTGGGGAATCATGGGGCATCTCAGTAAGAAGCTGTCAGAAAGAACCTGGAACAGGATTTGAGCTTTGGTTGGATAATTTAGGGGAAGCCCTGAGAAGGTAGAAGTTTTCACCAGATTAGACACCGTCAGAAAGTAAGGATGGCCCTTTGACTGGGAGTCTCTGTAAATCTTGTCAAGGGAGCAGAGATTAGATGAGGACATCAGTAATTGGTGAAGAAATAGCAATTGTTCATTTTGACTGAGAGGGAGTGTTTGATATTTTGTGGATGGCACAGGACCTTGCTTTTGTTTGTGTTTAGACAAAACTGCAATGGGCTTGTTGCATCTCATTTTATCATGGTCTCAGAGTAACTTTGTTCGAGGTTGTCATTCTGTGAAACAGTTTATATCTAATAGATAGTGTGCTTATGTCTGCATGCCAGGCCGTTTTCCAAATGTCAGAGACTGTCCTTGTTTGTTCCCAGTGGATATGTTAAGGTTATAGATCCTGGGGTTTAGACTGTCTGGGCTCACTTCCCAACAGCTCCACTCATCAGCTCTGGGACCTGAAGCAAGCTGTTAACCTCAGTGAGCCTCAGTTTTCCCATGTATGAAATGAAGAGAACTATGGTGCTCATTTTACCTCTAGGATGGTAGAGTGGATTAAATGAGATGTAGCCACAGTGTCTAGCATATAGTGGTTGTGAAGTGAACTTTTAAAAAAGTTTGACTTGTAAACTTCACTTTCCTTGTTGTCACATTGGTTTTAGTAGTGGTGGGAAGGCTAGTACTATAGAGTAGGACTGTATGTCCAGGATTAGCTCAATTTATTGATTTTCCATTAAGTGTTGGAGAAAACTAACAGAAGCCCCTGCATCATTTCTTCCCTTGGAATAAAGTTCTGCTATAGCCACAGCTTCATTTATTGCATATATTATGCCAGGGACCATGTTAAGCCCCTGCTAGGGAGTAGCTCAGGTAATCTTTACAGCAGCCCGATGAAGTAGGTTAAGTTGGCACTATTTCCATTGGCCCCGTTTTTCCACAAGGAAACTGAGGTCAGTCAGATAAAGTACTGGAGCTGCCTCAGCTAAAAGAGAATGAGGAGTTGAACCTGGGGAGTCCGGTTCTGCATCCTAAAGTTCAACCTCACCATGCTGCTTCTTACTGTGCTTGCAGAAAGGAAAGAGGCTTGCTCCCACCTGGAAGAGAGGGACATCAGGCAGGGTGGGCAGGATGCAATGTAAGTTCCCAAGACAGCCAGGCTTCTAAGGAGGCCTTCAGCTGGGACACAGAGGGATCAGGAGCAGGCATGTCTGAAATTAGGAAACACCTTAACAGCACGAACCAAGGTGGGCAAGCTGGCTGGCCCTGCAGTGAGGACCCTGAGACCACTAGTCAGCCCTTGGGTCCCTGAGTTACAGAGAGATAAGGGGAAGACCCTGTGTGCCCCCAGGCAGCGTACCTGCAGAGACTTGGGGTGAACACAGCAGTCTTCGAGAGGCGTCATGTGATCGGGGGTGCTGCTGTCACTGAGGAAATCATCCCAGGTAAGCCCTGAGAGGTTGAGGGGGGCAGGAGGGTGACCACTAGTGATTATTCTTGTATTTGGTTTTAGGGTTTAAATTCTCTCGAGCATCCTACCTCCTCAGCCTGCTGAGGCCACAGATTTACACTGACCTGGAGCTAAAGGTAGAGCAATCCCTGTGATCTATGGTTGCCTGGAGGGCAGCAGTTCCATCTTTTCCCCCTGCCTTGAGTGAGGGCTGCCTGTCCTGTACCTGGGCAACTCCCCACACCCGAAGGCTCTCTCTTCCAGCCCAGGGCTTGCCTGTCCCACACAGTCTCCTGGTGTGTTTCACAGATCAATATTCTCTAGCCCACCAATGTATCAAAAAATGGGAAAATGGGGCCGGGGATTTAGCTCAGTAGTTCTGGCGCCAGCCTCACAAGCAGAAGGACCTGAGTTCGATCCCCGGTACCAAAAAAATTTAAAAAGGGACAATGTCACCAAAACATCAGCCCTCTTTTGAAAAGAGTTGTTTGTCAACATCAGGTGTTCATTTTATATGGAGGCACATGGCAGTGCCTTAGGCAGGCAGGGCCCCCCTAGCTTGGCCCTGTCCCTGTCATTTCCTAGTGTCTTACCTGACAGTAGTAGAATACCTCCCTTGAGCCTTGAGTACCAAATTTTGCAAAGCCCTATTTCTGCCTTCATTAAAACTTTAGGGCCTGTTACCATTCTTGGAAGCATGAGCAGAAGTGGGACCTGAACTTTCACCTCTTCCAGCTCTGCTCCACCTGCCTCTTGCCGGCTTTCTTAGCCTGCTAAACTTTGCTCATCAACTTGCCCCTCCCTGCCCCTCCCAAACCCCCCTCCCCCACCCCTTCCATCAACTTTACCACCACCCCACGAAGGGGCAGCCCTCTTCAAGCAGCTGCCAGCTGCTGTGTACTTTGACATTCAGTTTTACTGAATTTATTTATATTTATTCAGTTTTACTCTGAATTTGAAGTTTGAAATTACCATAATACTCAGCCATTGTTTGTAGCTCTTTGGCTGCTCAAATTGGTTCCTATAAAAAAGTTCTGTGAATTAGGTAATGACAGAAGGCCAAAGTAAGAAATTATGAGGCGGGGGCGGCGGGGGAGAAAGAATATACACTGGTACCAGAATTGAATACAATTTAGCCAGGGCCTAGGGTTTGGTCTGGGGTCTCTAACCCATAGCACACTATAGCTAAGGGCAATTTATAAGTGTACTGATTAACTGTGGTGTCAGATGTTGGGGGCCAGAGGCAACTTCTGTCCCCTTCCTTCCCTTACTGATCTTCCAGGTTTCCTTCTGTTCATGTTTTACTATAGGAACTCTCTCTAAGACAAGGCTCTCAAACCTGCAGATAGGTAAGAATGAGCTGGGGACTGGTAGGGAGTTGGACATTTCCAAATGTTCTTGCTCAGAAGCCTGATTTTATAGAAACAGTGGGGTGCAGGAACCAGCATTTTACAACATCCTCAGATCATTCTAAAACAGGAGGCCCCCAGAAACAACTGAGAACTCCACCCTTTAAATTTCCATATCACTGGTCTCTGATCTACCTTTCCCAAGGATTTCCACCTGGAATGACTGGGCATGCTGAATATTACACAGATAATCAGAGAATGGTTCCGGTTTTGTTTTTTAAAAACAAATCTCCAAATAAATGTCATGGAGGCCATAAGTGGATATTTAAACGCCCCTTCTTACTCCCTATGATTAAAACAGTTAAGAATAACAAAGGCACCATTTATAAGAGAAAGTCCTAGAATCAGTCAAAAAATAACTCATGTTCGATTAGTTATACTGGAAATAATTTCTGGGTCCCCTATAAGGAAGGTTTATTGATTTGTCTAGTCAATGTTTCTGAGCACCTGCTCTTCTGAGCACTGGGAGAGGCCCTTGGGATACACTGGTGAACTTGGAGATAGTAACAGAACTTCAGGCAGAGGTAAGTGGCAGAAAGAAAAGAAAGTAAGCAATATGATAGGGAAAGTCTGGAGGCCCCAGCCTACACTGGTGACCTAGAAATCCTTGAGGGAGTAATATGTGAACTGAAGTCACTGGCCAATGTGGTATAGCATCTGAGCAGAGTTCCACCCAGAGGGAAGTAGAAGTTGACAGGCTGAGGCAGGCATGAGCAGAAGGCAGGTCAATGTGACCAAAGCAGACCAGTGACAGGCAGAGGGGCAGCAGACATGGGGAGGGGCAAGGGCTAGCTCAAACTGGACTTTGCAAGCTATGTGAGGGCCCTACATTTTATCCATGTGTAGTAGGAAGCCAGCCAAGGTGTTTAATCAGGAAGTGGAGTATGAGATTCATGACTTTATACAAGATCAGTCCATCTGGATCATAATGAAGGCAGGAGGGGTTCACAAGTAGATCCATGAGACAGCTGCCACAGTGCTTCACATGATGGCAGCTTGAACCAAGACAGCAGATGTGGAAAGATGTGGACTGCTTGTGCAGTAGGGGCTGACAAGACTTAGCTCTGGTTGGGATGCCAAAGAGTGAGGAGGAGAGAGGAACTCAAGATGCTCCTGGGGTTTAACAGGTACAAAATACAGGATCCTCCAACTCGGAATCAGATTTCTCAGTCTTAACATTAGAAAGGACACAAAATTCTCCCACCCCAGCCTCATCCTGTGTTCAGGATATCCTCTACAAAATGCTCCATGCCTGGCCATCCTGTGCCTCTGGAGCATCTCTGATTTGGACAGTTCCAACTGTACTTGTTGGAAAGGGCTTATTGTGGTTTCTGTCATCCTAACACTTCTATTCACAGATCTCATTTCTGTCCCTTGGGGTGACACCTGTCTTCAGCATAGCCTTCACCCCTCTAGTCAGCAGAATGCTTGCTGGTACCCTGAATCTCAATGTGGGAATACAATAGTGAGCAAAATAGACAGTGCCCTGACCTCATAGACCTTCTCTTCTACTTCGGAAGATGAAGAAACATGATGTATAGTTAGCCATGTGATGACAAGGGCTTTGGAAAATAATACAGAGTGAAGGGACAGTAAGTGCTGGTGTAGTCAGGGAAGGCATTGCTGATAAAGGACAGTTGAGCAGAGACCTCAAAGAAGTGAGGGCCCAGGTCACAGATATAGGGAAGGAAGTCTCTAGACGTCAGCCATAATAAGGTTCACTTAGGTTAGTAGTATGGATCTCTTGTTGTGTCTGTGCCTCCATAGAGAAATAAATGTGCTCTTGTAAAGTCCTGTGTGCAGGGCAAATATCTGTAAATTAAATCATATTTTAAATACTTCAAGGGAACTTCTATTTAAAGTGACCCTAGAATAAGTGAGTCTTCAAAGTAAATAAAATTTTTGATGTAAATAATATATCTACATTATATGTATGGATTTTCACATAACCATTGCTTTATGTGTCTCTCTAAATTTTAATTATTTATGTCTGAAGTGGGGCAGTTATAGATTAGTTCTGAGACCCAGGGGCTGGGAGTCACAGCAGTGTGATTTTGAAACTTAGGTCCACCTCCTATAGTGATCTGGGACAAGTTATTTAACTTCTCTGAATTTCTATTGTCGTATTTGTACAAAGAGGATAATAGTACTTACAGAGATATTGTGAGATAGTAATTATAAACCCTAGTACTGTCCCTGGCACAAGAAAGGCATAGTATGGCATGGTGTGGTATGGTCTATCCTTTAGTGCCTTGGTGAGAGGACTTTTTATAAATTTATATTTAAAAAAGGAAAACCGGGACCCCATACCTTCAGAACCTGCATACAGCTACCCAGGTGGTCACACAAACACAATTGGAGAAAGGTAAATAGCAGACACCATAAATCCCTAAAATGTTGCCTGTACTCTTTGTGTCCTGCAGAAACATGGGCTGAGGCTTCATCTGCGAAATCCCCATTCCTTCACCCCCATGCTGGAAGAGGGCACAGGGAGCAAGGTGCCTAGGTCCCTTCTGCTGGGCACAGACATGGCAGAAAACCAGAAGCAGATTGCCCAGTTCTCACAGAAAGATGCCCAGGTAGGAAAAGTGACCAGAGACTGAGCTCCTCCTCACTCACCAGCCTGGATAAGGTTCTTGAAAGGAAAGGACTGATTGGACTTGTCCTAGAACACAGTGCCCAAAGGCTGTGGGAGCTTGGACAGGCCATCCTTTCTTCCCTGGAAGAAAGCTTTGGCTCTCAGCACTGTGAAGAGAAGGGATGGAGAGCAGTGATTAAAGCCCTCAAACCTGTGTATGTTCAGTATGAAGCCACTGTCAAATGGCCTCCGCATGCTGAATTTCAAAAGGGAATCCACTGGTATGTACATTTACTATGTGTGCCCTAGATTCCCTCCTGCTTTCAGACAGAATCCCAAATGATTATCTACATGAAAGCCACAAAGGAAGATGAAGGGCAGATAAGAGACAATTAAGGATAAAATGACCTGGATGAGGAACTTAAGAAAATATTCATTCAATTTGGCATCAATCCCCTGGCACCCAAGACAATAAAGTGTGCGTGATGGTGTGCAGATCTGTGAGAGAAAACACACACTGGACAGTTAGTACGCTGTTTTCTTGGGTGGCAATCTAGGAATTGACTGGGTAACTGTCCAGATGAGTCACTGGACAATATAATGGGCCTGAAATGATGAGTTCTGGGGCTAGGGAAAGAGTCTTTGAATGGCCATTTGTATACCAAGCCTAATACAAATTGCATTAAATCAGATCTCAGTGGAGACATATTTATAAGAAGAACCTAGGTTAGTATAATCCAGGCACATTGCTTTTTGTTGTCTTTTTTTTTTTTTGGTAGCAGAGATGTGCAAGGCAAGCATGGTGCCACTGAGCTAAATTCCTGACCCCACTTTTTGTTGTCTTAACCAAACTTTTGATAAAACCTAGAGAACCACAGACGTACGGTACATACCTCTTCAACCAGAGGCTTCTAAACCAGGCTGAAGTTTCTAAAACTGCTTTTTCCAAGTCCTTCTCATGTGACTGTTTTGTGCAATGGCCTGGGAACCAGGCCCTCCACCTTCTCCAAAACCCTGCCTATCTCAAATGCCTTAGGCAGGAGTCCGCACAGCACTACCTGTGGCCCTGCCTGTTAGTAACCACATAAGCAGGAGGCCAGGGCTCATTTCCCATCATGGAATACAAGGAGACCCAGTTTGGGTTATGTCTTTGGAAGTTGTTATTTTTTCTGTCTATTTATCTATCTATCTATTTATTTATTTATTTATTTATTTATTTATTTATTTATTTATTTTCCTGATACCAGGAACCAAACTCAGGACCTTGTGCTTTCAAGGCAAGCGCAGTGCCACTGAGCTACATCCCCGGCCCAGCAAGTTGTTATTTTAAAGGCTTGCTCTGGAGAAAACTATTTTTTTTCCCTTAAATTCTTTTATTGGTACATTTTAGGTAAACTGTACATTTACATTTATCATTGGGTGCTTGTACCTGTACATGATGTGTCTTGGTTCTTATTTTTTTCCCCATTACCTGTGTGCCCTTCACCCCCTCCACCCTTCCCTATTTACATAGACTTTGATTCCATTTTTTTCTTTTCTCATGATTTTTCCTTTCCCCTTCCCCTCCCCCCCACCCACCCCTTTGGACCTTTTCTTCCTATTTCAAATTATCAATTATTCATTTTAATCATTTTAATTCTTATTTACACTTTCAGTTTCTCATACTAGAGAAACTATTCGATATTTACACATGTGTGTCGTATTTATTTCATTTATGAGTATGGCCTCATTATGCATCCATTTAGCTATACATGTCTCTAGTTTCTTGTTTTTTATGGCTGAGTAGTACTCCACTTTATTAAAAAAAAAGCCCACATGTTCTTCATCCAGTTTCCAGTTGATGGGCACTTGGGCTGTTTCCAATCTTTAGCTCTTACAAACTGTGCCGCTATGAACATGGGTGCACATATATCACTGTGGTA